ATTTTGTCTGTGTACAAAATACAATAACAAAACATTCAACCCCAGTAGGGTATAAACAGAAAAAAAAAAAAAAAAAAAAAAGAAAGATAGAGAAGGAGAAGAAAGGGGGGGAAAGAATTAGGAAGGAAAAAATAAAAAAGAGAAGCGAAAAGGAGAGAGTAGAGCACACCCCTAGCCCCCACACAGGCAAGCGTCCCAGGCCTCTGGGGAATGCGAAGAGCCACAAGTCCTAGGAGGCAGAGCTAGACTGAGAAGCCAAAACTGTTTGATCTTTATAGAAGAAATATGGGGTCCATGTTTTCCATATTTTTCCCCCTGTTCTTTGAGCAGCATAGTCATGATTTCCATCTCCTGAATCTCATGAATGCGGGCTAGCCAATGTGTCTTTGTAGGGGGCAACGGGTTCTTCCACAATGCTGGAATACATGCTTTTGCTGCATTAAGGAGGTGTTTCAAGAGAGAATGCTTATTATATATTTTGTTTGACATGGGTGTGTCATGGACATGGGTGTGTCATGAAGAACAAAGGCTGCTGGACTTCCTCCAAGAGACACTCCCATCCGCGTGTGCACCGTTTGTTCCACTCCCAAAAAAATATGGAGCAGTGAGCCGTCAGGAGCCTGGCAACGCCAGCAGAGGTTCGGGATCTGTGGAAACATGTGATGAAGTACCTCCGGCGTCCTGTACCACCTGGTAAGGAGCTTATAACCCCCCTCCTGGTACCTGCTAGCTAGGGAGGCCCTGTGGGCAAAATAAATAATCCTGTCCTTCTGTTTCTGAGAAAAGATAGCGTTCAGATCTCTCTCCCATTGTCGTAAGAACAGTAAGTAAGGGGGGGCTTCAGATACTATCAAAGAAGAGTAGAAATGAGAAAGAGAATGCCTTAAGCGTTCACATGACATACAAAGATTCTCAAAGAGAGACAGCACCCTTATAGTAGTTTGTTACCTGGTGAGAATGTAAGAATGTAATTGTGCTCGTCTCCGAAAATCAACTCCTGAGAAGACATGAGGCGACTGTTTCTGGAGAAGTGAATCAACAGCCGTCACGATAACGTGCCTGAAAGTGGGGGTCCAAGAGACCAGGCAGGAAGCTTGCCATACCTATAATAGGCATCAAGGGACTCAGACCCGGGAAGAAGGTGGTAACTTTAAATACCTACCTGAATACTCTGAATGTTTCTCCTACCAGAGGATGTTTTCTGGCAGATAAAGGCAGAGAAGACCAAGGGTGCCAGGGAAAGCCAGACAGAGGCAGGTCAACCGAAGTCTGTTCCAGGTCTACTCATAACTTCGCTCCGTGTGTACACCACCCTAGCGAGATGCGCTGCTTCATGATACTTCACCGGGTCTGGAAAATCCACTCCACCTCTCACTTTGGGCAAGAAGAGGATCCCCCCCTGAAGTCATGCCGGTTTACCCCTCCAGACGAAGCTGAGAAAAGCAGAATGCAACATAGTCAGAAAACCAGACGGAAGTTGTATCGGAAGGGCCTGAAGTAGATAATTAAGTCTTGGCATAATATTTATTTTTAAAATATTGATGCGTCCATTCCACGTGAAAATCTCTCTATCCCAACGTGAAAGGTCAGCTCTAATCGTCCTGTCCAAAGGAGCAAAGTTAAGTTCGATTGACCTTCGCAAATCCTGATGGATATTCATACCCAGGTATCTAATGTGAGAGGAAGTCCATTTAAAATGGAACTGGGAGGCAATTTGTTGTTGGGTGGAGTGGTCTATAGAAATCCCCATGGCTTCCGATTTGGAGTACTTTATTTTAAAATTAGAGAGAGATTCGTAGCGGCTAAGTTCCCATAGCAAGGATGGTAGAGAGGTGGTTGGTGTAGACATAAAAAAGATCAGGTCGTCTGCATAGGCTGCCAGTTTGTGTTCATTGCCCTTGCTTGTAATGCCCTTAATGCAAAGTGAAACAAAATTCTACAATTTAAAAATGTTATCAAAAAATGTTTTCTTTTGCATATACAAATCTTTTATGTATTTTACATATATTGTATATAGACACATGCAAGTGGGGGCCATTTTGGAGTATGTCATCATATTGCCCTCTTAAGTATATCCATTTACTATCCAGATATATTCCATTTCCATTTTATTTCTAGATTTTCTAATGCTTTAAATGTCATCACCATTACCACTATCACTACTATTATTACTATCACTATAATATTATTATTACCATTTACCATAGAAATACATTTCTCATCAGTATAATGGATAGTGAGGTATCCCTGTCCCTTATATAAATTCTAGAACAGGTTGTGTATCCATTGAAGTTGTTGTCTTTTATTACGATTATTACTATTAGAGATGAGCGAAGTATTCAAAAATTAGATTCGGCTGATTCGGCGAATTCGAGGAATAAATTCGATTCGATGCGAATATATTCGCTGTGATTTTAACTTATAAAAGGGTGTTTCTAGGCTTCAGAGAGCCTTTATATTAGTGCAGAACACTGTACCTTTAATTTTAAATGCCCTTGGAGTCTGCTGGGGAAGAGAAATAATACTGTCAGTCAGTATGACATGCAGATGAGTGCCGTCGATCTTAGAATCACCCGCACACTTCACTCATTTGGGCAGTCACGGGGCCAAACCAGAGTGTGGAGCCACAGTGCGGCGGTGGAGGCAGCAGCAATGGGAGGCCATACAGCACCCTATGACAAAAATGGAACCCACCAGCAGTGTGAGGAGACCTGAAAGTGGCACATGGCAGAGTGTGGCGATGGAGACAGCAGCAATGGGAGGCCGTACAGGGACGCATGACACAACTCTGGACCTGGCAGCAGCATTAGGAGGCGGTACAGGGGCCCATGGCAGATTACGGGCCTGGCAGCAGCAATGGGAGGCCCGTAATCTGCCAGCACCCTATGACAAAATGGAACACACCAGCAGTGTGAGGAGACCTGAAAGTGGCACATGGCAGAGTGTGGCGATGGAGACAGCAGCAATGCGAGGCCGTACAGGGACCCATGAGAGACTCTGGACCTGGCAGCAGCATGAGGAGGCGGTACAGGGGCCCATGGCAGATTACGGGCCTGGCAGCAGCAATGGGAGGCCCGTAATCTGCCAGCACACCCTATGACAAAAAATGGAACCCACCAGTAGTGTGAGGAGACCTGAAAGTGGCACATGTTTGGGGCATGATTCATGGCGGATTTAGTCAGTTTGTGTCAGGAACTGGTGGTTTGAAATCCAGACTAATCCACGCCTGATTCATTTTCACAAACGTGAGTCTCTCCACACTTTGGGTGGACAGTCGTGTCCTCCGCGGAGTTACAATACCTCCTGCCGCACTAAACACGCGCTCCGATGCCACGCTACTGGCCGGGCATGACAGCCTTTCAAGGGCAAATTCAGCTAGTTGGGGCCAAAGGTCAAGTTTCGTTGCCCAGTAGTCAAGGGGATTGTCTACCTCGGTTGGCAGGGTGCTGTCCAAGTAGGCCCAAGCCCTTTGTTTGAGGTCCTGCTCCACCAGGTCCACCTGATGCTGCTGCTGCTGCTGCGGCTGCTGGTGGTTAGTAGTTTCCTCACTGCGCTGGTGAAGAAAGCTACTCATCATCGACTGCAGACTGAGGCAGCCGCTGCTGGTGGAGCTGCCACTGCTCCTACCACCCCACCCCTCCCCTGCTGCCATGGCAGCGGAACGCGAGCGCACAGGGCCCACAGTGTCTGAGGATGGACGTTGGCGCAGAAAGGCAGAGACCAGCTGACTATATAGGTGGTTTTTTATAGTACTTTATTTTGGCCTCCCTCTCAGCAGGTGTGAAAAAGGCCACCATTTTTGAACGGTAGCGAGGGTCCAACAAGGTGGACAGCCAAAAGTCATCCCTCTGTCTGATGGTTATTATTCGGGCTGTCGCTACGCAAGCAACCGAGCATGCTATGGGCCATTATTTGTGCCAAGGAATGCGAGGGACTCCCTGCCTCCATCTCCACAGCATACTGCCATGGTGCGTCTGGGTCCTCTGTCTCCTCCTCCTCCTCCTCTACCAGATGCTCCTGCTCCTCCACTCCTGTCTGCTGAGTGGAAAAACCACCCATTTCACTCAATAATTCCTGGGCACCAATGTCCTCCTCTACCTCCTCCTCTTCTTCCTGTCCTGCCCCCACAGGGGGGTCATGTGGCGTTGAGATCTGTGCGCCACGTCTACCGCACCCTGGACCAGCCATTGTTAACAGCATTTGTTCCAGACTTGCAACAGAGGAATGACGTCGTTCATCCCATAGTCCCTGCCGACTCACGAATAGCGTGGCCTTCCTCAAAGGGCCTGAGCAAGCGGCAGGTGTCACGCATGAGCTGCCAATGGCTGACATCTAAGTTACACAGGGAGTAAACCTTTATCCGCTTGTAACATCAGGAAATCTTGTGATGGCCTTTCGCTGTTCGTAAAGGCGGTCTAACATATGTAGGGTTGAATTCCACCTTGTTGCAAACGTCACAGCATGAGGAGTTCGGTACGGGGGCCCATGGCAGATTACGGGCCTGGCAGCAGCAATGGGAGGCCTGTAATCTGCCAGCACCCTATGACAAGAAATGGAACCACCAGCAGTGTGAGGAAGACCTGAAAGTGGCACATGGCAGAGTGTGGCGATGGAGACAGCAGCAATGGAGGCCGTACAGGGACCCATGAGACACTCTGGACCTGGGCAGCAGCATATGAGGATTGGCAGGGGTAATTACAGGGCATGTGGAGGAGCCCATGGCAGATTTACGGGCCTGGCAGCAGCAATGGAAGGCCCTGGGTAATCTGCCATGGGCACCCTATGACAAAAAATGGAACACACCAGCAGTTGTGAGGAGACCTGAAAGTGGCACATGGCAGAGTGTGGCGATGGAGACAGCAGCAATGGGAGGCCGTACAGGGGACCCATGAGACACTCTGGACCTGGCAGCAGCATGAGGAGGCGGTACTGGGGCCCATGGCAGATTACGGGCCTGGCAGCAGCAATGGGAGGCCCGTAATCTGCCAGCACCATATGACAAAAATGTAACACACCAGCAGTGTGAGGAGACCTGAAAGTGGCACATGGCAGAGTGTGGCGATGGAGACAGCAGCAATGGGAGGCCGTACAGGGACCCATGAGAGACTCTGGACCTGGCAGCAGCCTGAGGAGGCGGTATACAGGGGGCCCATGGCAGATTACGGGCCTGGCAGCAGCAATGGGGAGGCCCGTAATCTGCCAGCACCCTATGACAAAAAATGTAACACACCAGCAGTGTGAGGAGACCTGAAAGTGGCACATGGCAGAGTGTGTGGCAATGGAGACAGCAGCAAAACAATGGGAGGCCATACAGGGGACCCATGAGAGACTCTGGACCTGGCAGCAGCATGAGGAGGCGGGTTACGGTACTGGGGCCCATGGCAGATTTACGGGCCTGGCAGCAGCAATGGGAGGCCCGTAATCTGCCAGCACCCTATGACAAAAAATGTAACACACCTGCAGGTGTGAGGAGACCTGAAAGTGGCCACATGGCAGAGTGTGGCGATGGAGACAGCAGCAATGGGAGGCCGTAATACAGGGACCCATGAGAGACTCTGGACCTGGCAGCAGCATGATGGAGGCGGTACAAGGGGCCCATGGCAGATTACGGGCCTGGCAGCAGCAATGGGAGGGCCCGTAATCTGCCAGCACCCTATGACAAAAAAATTGAAAACACCAGCAGTGTGAGGAGACCTGAAGAGTGGCACATGGCAGAGTGTGGCGATGAGACAGCAGCAATGGGAGGCCGTACATGGGACCCATGAGACACTCTGGACCTGGCAGCAGCCTGAGGAGCCGGTAACAGGGGCCCATGGCAGATTACGGGCCTAGGCAGCAGCAATGGGAGGCCCGTAATCTGCCGCCACCCTATGACAAAAAATGGAACACACCAGCAGCTGTGAGGAGACCTGAAAGTGGCACATGTTTGGGGCATGATTCATGGCGGATTTAGTCAGTTGTGTCAGGAACTGGGTGGTTTGAAATCCAGACTAATCCACGCCTGATTCATTTTCACAAAACATGAGTTCTCTCCACACTTTTGGGTGGACAGTCGTGTCCTATCGCGGTAGTTACAATACCTCCTGCCGCACTAAACACGCGCTCCGATGCCACGCTACTGTGCCGGGCATGACAGCCTTTCAAGGGCAAATTCAGCTAGTTGGGGCCAAAGGTCAAGTTTCGTTGCCCAGTAGTCAAGGGGATTGTCTACCTCGGTTGGCAGGGTGCTGTCCCAAGTAGGCCCCAAGCCTGTTGTTTGAGGTCCTGCTCCAGGTCCACCTGATGCTGCTGCTGCTGCTGCGGGCTGGTTAGTAGTTTCCTCACTGCGCTGGGTGAAGAAAGCTACTCATCATCCGACTGCAGACTGAGGCAGCCGCTGCTGGTGGAGCTGCCACTGCTCCTAGCTCCCCACCCACCCCTCCCCTGCTGCCATTGGCAGCGGAACGCGAGCGCACAGGGCCCACAGTGTCCTGAGGATGGAAACGGTTGGCGCACAAAGGCAGAGACCAACTGACTACATAGGTTGGTTTTAGAAATTTATAGTACGTTATTTTGGCCGTCTCCCTCTCAGCAGGTGTGAAAAAGGCCACCATTTTTGAACGGTAGCGAGGGTCCAACAAGGTGGACAGCCAAAAGTCATCCCTCTGTCTGATGGTTATTATTCGGCTGTCGCTACGCAAGCAAACCGAGCATGCTGATGGGCCATTTGTGCCAACGGAATGCGAGGGACTCCCTGCCTCCATTCATCCACAGCATACTGCCACGGTGCGTCTGGGTCCTCTGTCTCCTCCTCCTCTACCAGATGCTCCTGCTCCTCCACACCTGTCCGCTGAGTGGAAAAACCACCCATTTCACTCAATAATTCCTGAGCACAAATGTCCTCCACTACCTCCTCCTCTTCTTCCCTGTCCTCCACCCCACAGGGGTCATGTGGCGTATGAGATCTGTGCGCCACAACTACCGCACCCTGACCAGCCCATTGTTAACAGCATATTGTTTCCAGGACGTGCAACAGAGGAATGACGTCGTTCATCCCATATCGTTCCTGCCGACTCACGAAATAGCCCGTGGCCTCCTCAAAGGGCCTGAGCACATGCGGCAGGTGTCACGCATGAGCTGCCAATGGGCTGACATCGAAGTTACACAGGGGAAGTACCTTTATCCGCTTGTAACATCAGGAAATCGGTGATGGCCTTTCGCTGTTCGTAAAGGCGGTCTAACATGTGTAGGGTTTGAATTCCACCTTGTTGCAACGTCGCAGATCAGGCGATGCTGTGGAATTCCGTTCTGCCTTGCTGCAGCTCAAGGAGGGTGTGCTTTGCGGTGTAGGAATGGCATTCAAAGTTTAAAATGCATGCAAAGTTTACGTGACATTTTAAGGATGTTTTGCAGTGGGGATGGTGGATTTTAGGAACCGCTTGACAACCAGATTGAACACGTGAGCCATGCATGGCGCATGGCACACCTTCCTTGACGCAGAGCAGACACCATGTTCTTTCCGTTGTCGGTCAACATGGGTTCCGATTTTCAGTTTGCGCGGAGACAGCCATCTGTCGATTTCTCTGCTGTTCATTACACTCAGAAGTTCCTCCCCTGTGTGACTACGTTCGCCAAGGCATACCAGTGCAGCAACAGCGTGACACCGTTGCGCCCTGCACATTGTGATATGCCGGTCGGGTAATGGTCACTGGGGACTTGGCATTACGGGGGGTGGCAGCTGAGGACACGGCGGAAGAAGAGGTGGTAGAGGCGGGACAATCTTTTGTGGACCAAGGACGTGCAAAACGTGGAGGCAAAAGCGGTGTGACCTGTCCCAAGTTGCTGGTGCAGGCTGTGCCGGCACCACGTTCACCAGTGGGCCGTAAATGACATGTACTGTCCTGACCGTAGTTACAGCTCCACCACGTGACGGCGTCTGCCGTGCACACTTTGGCAGAGACCGACATGCTCAAAGACTGGGCCCTACCATCTTCTTTCTACATGTGAATGCAGGGCTGGCATCTGCCTTTTGGGCGAAGAAATGACGGCTTGTGCACTCTCCACCGCGGCGCGGCACAAGCCATCATTTCTCGGAAAGGTGCTGAGTCACCACTTGGAAAGGGTGGGGTTTTGGGGACTGCAGCACCAGCAGCAACTTGGACAGGAGGACGTTCAGCTTTTTGCACGTGGGGGGGGGGGTGCGTGCTCGCAAACTGTTGTCTTCTGGAAACGGATTCCAAGAAAGACTGCTGACGGAATCGTGAAGAGGAGGAGTAGCAGGAGAAGGAGCATCTGAACGAGCGGAAGATGCCAACGAGCGACAACTCCCCTCAGCAGAGGTGTTGGAGCCTTGACTGGCTGATAGAGGGCGATTGACGTGGGTGACGGAGCAAGTAACGGAGCGGGTGCAAGATGGAGGGGGGCTGGGGCAGGCAGAACCGCCGTATCTTTATCACGGTTTTCCCAGGCCACCAACTGGCGACGTCTGCATATGCTGCCGCAACGCTGTAGTCCCAACATGGGCCCCCTGGCCACGCTTGACTTTCTGGCCACATAGTCGACATAACGGCTACGTTTACTTCCTAGGGCGGCTTGACGAAAAATTGCCACAACAACGCGAGTAGTAGGAAAACTTTGCCCCCCGATACTCCTCACTGGCTGACTGCTACTTCCTCCGTGCACACCGGCACACTACTGGCCGTGGTGGTAGGCTGGCAGTGGAGCTGGTGCTCTACTCCGTGGCCGTTTGCCTTCCACTGACACTGCTGCGACCTGCTGCTATCCTGGGCAAACCCACCGACTGTTTTGCTCGCTGCCAAGCTGGCACCCTCTTCTCCTGAATGATGCGGAAGCAATAGCCTGATGACGACGAGGTGCAAGCGTGCGATCAGCCTCATCATCATCAATTAGGGTCTCCCGCCTCACTACTAGCCCCCTCGGCTGCGTGTGGGTCAGGAGACAGACCTGTCTCTAGACCGGTTACCGAGCCACTCTCCTCGCCACTACTTCTTCGCCTGATGGCTGCTTGAAGAGGCGGATGTCTCCCCCGTTGACCTGACCGCCCTCTGTTAGCTCTTCCTCACTGTACAGTGGGGCTGAGCCCCACAGCATGCGATACTTCGCTTGGTGAGGGAACACCAAAGGACAGGGGCAGGGTAGAGGACACGTGATTTCAGTGGGCTTGCTCCCGGGCCATGCCAACTAACGGGTTGTGTCTGACGTACCCACCGACCGTTGGCTGTAGGTGTCAGAGGTGACCTGGGAAGAGGAAGACGGACCGAGCCAACCAACTCGATGACGGCAGGGTTGTCAGGTGGATGACACGACCGCTGGATGACACTCGGGAGCAATGGCCTCTGGGCTGCGACTAGTGCTGCCTCGACCCCTTCTCTCTGCTGCCACGTCTGCTCGCTCCTAAAACATTGCCTCCTCTGCCACTCCTCTCTGCATGTTGTCTGACATACTCTTTTAATTCAACGATTATGTGTCCCTGAGTAACAATTCTGTGTCCTCTGAGTACAATTCTGTGTCTGTCCCTGAGTAACAATTCTGTGTCCCTGCTAGTAACAATTCTGTGTCGCCTCAGTATCAATTCTGTGTCTGTCCCTGAGTAACAATTCTGTGTCTGTCCCTGAGTAACCAATTCTGTGTCCCTGAGTAACAATTCTGTGTCCCTGAGTAACAATTCTGTGTCCCTCAGTAACAATTCTTGTGTCCCCTCAGTAACAATAATTTGTGTCTGTCCCTGAGTGAAACAATTCTGTGTCTTTCCCTGAGTAACAATTCTGTGTCCCTCAGTAACAATTCTGTGTCTGTCCCTGAGTAACAATTCTGTGTCTGTCCCTGAAGTAAGTAAATTCTGTGTCCTGTCCCTGAGTAACAATTCTGTGTCCCTCAGTAACAATTCTGTGTCCTATACTCAGTATCAATTCTGTGTCTGTCCCTGAGTAACAATTCTGTGTCCGCTGAGTAACAATTCTGTGTCCCATCAGTAACGTCATAATTTCAGTGTGTCTGTCTGTGTAACCAATTCTGTCCCTGAGTAACAATTCTGTGTCTGTCCCTGAGTAACTGTCGCCTTCTGTGTCTGTCCCTGAGTAACAATTCTGTGTCCCTCAGGTAACAATTCTGTGTCCACTCAGTAACAATTCTGTGTCCTGTCCCTCTGAGGGCGATAGACAATTCAGGTGTGTCCCTCCGTAACAATTCTGTGTCCCTCAGTAACAATTGTGTGACTGTCCCTCAGTAACAATTCTGTGTCTGTCCCTGAGTAACAATTCTGTGTGTCCCTCAAGTAACAATTCTGTGTCCTCTCAGTAACAATTCTGTGTCCCTCAGTAACAATTCTGTGTCTGTGGCCTCAGTAACAATTCTGTGTGATGTAACAATTCGTGTGTGTCCTCAGTAACAATTCTGTGTCTCAGTAACAATTCTGTGTCTGTAACCATCAGTATAACAATTCTGTGTCTGTCCCTGAGTAACAATTCTGTGTCCCTCACGAGTAACAATTCTGTGTCCCCTGTAGAGTAACAATTCTGTGTCCCTCAGTAACAATTCTTGTCGTCCCTCAGTAACAATCTGTGTCTGTCCCTGAGTA